TTTTTAGGCTTGAAGCTGAAGCGCCTGAAGACCGATCAGTACGATCTGCCGAGCAAGGTAGGTCCCTCGGTCGTTGAATATGTAGTGAGTACTTCAGATGACCGACGAGTTCCAACCCCCTGGTATTCACTTAGGATTGAAGCCTCGCGGTCCTATCTTATTGCGAGCGGCGCCCGAGATAGTCCCCCAAGTGAGTTGTCTGTTGGATTGCTATTATTGATCATTGTTCTCTGTCAGGTAATGGAGATAGTAATGAACGTTGTCGTAATTGCAAACGAATGTGCTCTATTCAATGAATAAGTTTTTCATGTCTTTCCCGAATTGTTGTGTTGTTGAGTGCCGAATATGTATCTCCTACATAAACGGGACGTTGAATGTACTGAGATTGCTACATTACAAAGAATAGTTTGTTCCCATCCGGCTAGTCTTGATCAGCAGGCGAACCGTGTTTCTCTTTGTAGCCTCAGATAATGCGAGTTGGTATAATCACTTAGTATCAGAGACTCTAGTCTGATTGCACAGTATCATCATTGGCTGTTTGCACTAACGGTTCAGTAAAAGCGAATGTCGCCTCATAGCAACGGTAGCTGCTAAGGAAGGGGAATCCGAAATGGTCGCTTATCATCATCACCATAAAGTCATTACGTATCTCAGATTTTCTCATATCTGTTCATCGCGGCGGGATAGCTGCTCGGACAAGAGGTGTCAGAATTATTGAGAAATCATCATAGAAGCTAATAGATTGTATATCAGCCAATTGACACGCAGCTACACACAAGCCTGATGCCACCCGCTGAAAATGTAGTTGTGGGACGAGTTGCATATAACCGCGAAACTCACACGGAGATGAATGTGGTTTCCTTTCATCCGAAGAACAGTTGACGCCTCAGTGTGCGTTGAGAGAGTATCATCAGATTCTATCAGAGACTCTAGTCTGATAGCACAGAATCATCACAGGCAACAAACAATACTATGAGTCAGAAAATGCGAGGTTGGCCTCATAGCAACCGAAGCTGCTAAGGAAGGGGAATCCGAGTTGGTCGCTAGTTCATCATACTCTCGAATATAATATTACTTGCTCAGCTTCGTCTCATTTGTGTTCAGCGCACATGGTCTGTGCTCGGACAAGAGGTGTCAGATTTAGAGATAATCATCATCGCCAGAAAAATAGAATTGTGGTCTAGCCAATTGACACGAGATCATAACAGAAGCTCATCATGCCACCCGCTAGACTTGGTTATCACTTTTGGATGATTTTGAACCGCAAACGTACGTAGAACGC